ACCTACTTAGAACAAGCTTAGCAAAGCACAGGGACCGCGGTTCAATCCCCCAGCACCACATGCCAGCCAGCCAAGCCCCCTGGTGGGCTGAGCTGGCCACACACACACACACACACACACACACACACAAATAAATAAAAATTAAAAAAAAAATTAAAAAAACAAATGATCCAGAGTCCAACAACCAATGCAGTCCTTCATCTCAGCAGAAACCTCCCCTACCTGGTCTTTACAGGCTGGCTTTCTATCAGCCATCTGATCTTCTGAGCTCTGACCAGAATCTCCCCTACAGAAGAGCTGAAGCTGTTCCAGCTCTTCACAAGTAGGAAACATCTCCAAACCTTTCCTCTTTTCCTATAAGCCATTCCCAAAAGCTTGTAATCTACATGGTCAGGTTGAGCCACAGCAACAACCCTACTCCTAGTACCAATTTCTATCTCAGTTACTCTTCTCTCATTGCTGGGACAAATACGCAACATTCAAAATGAAGGAAAGAAATGTGTTTATTTATCTCACAGTTACTGGAGGTTTCAGTCATATTCAGCTGGGTCCAAGGCAAAGCAGAACATAGCAGAAAGCAACTTTTCATGGTGGCAGCAAAGAGCAAGACAGCAAAAGGAGGAGCAGCAGCTCAAGCAGCTAACTTCTCTCCCCTCCTTACATTGTAATGCAAATTACCTGCCCTAGGGCAGGTGCATCATCCACACCCACAATAATCAATCACAAACTCCAGAAGCCACCCCTACACTGCAAGAGGCTTTCAGAGGACACCTATACACAAACCATAACAAACACTATCACAAAATTCACCAAAAGAGAGAATTCATAATCTATCACAAGGACAGAAGTACCTCAAGAACTTTGGTTATTCTTAATTTTTTTCAGCTTAACGTTCCTAAAAGAAAGCTTTGTTTTTATGGGCAAAGCTGATACCCTCCGTTCAGTCTATGTTTCCAGCTTAAGCCCCCAGTCTCCTACATCATCTGTTCACATGCCAGCTACCAGCTAAACACCCTTGGCATTTTTATAACTGCAGATTTGGTTCATATTAATCCATCTGCCCTGGAATCCTTACTGCCACCTGACCAAATCTAAGCCTGTGTTCAAAGCTATCTTTCCCTAGAAGCCAATGCCTACTCTCCTACATGAGAAAATATGGTAGCCTTTCTGTAAACAAATTTCTCCAAAGCATAGTGTAAATTCCTAGCAGCATTCCTTTTTTCTTTTGAGATAGCATCTTAACTATACAGTTCTGGCTGGCCTTGAGCTCTCTTTGTAGCCCAGGCTGGTCTGAAACTTGCAATGATCCTCCTGCCTCAGACTCCCAAGTGCTAGGATTACAGCCATGCACCACTACACTCAGTTCTTATTTCCTATTTTAAAGGGTTCTTTTTTTTTTTTTTTTTTTGGTGAAACCAGGGATTGAACTCAGGCCCTTGTGCTTGCCAGGCAAGTGCTTATTCTACTGAGCCATCTCCCTGGCCCCTATTTTAAAGTTCATATCCTTTTTCCTATGTACTAAGTCTCAAATTAATGGAATTAGTCTATTACCAAAAGATCCTAACATCTTTTAGGAGGCAGGCAATAAGCATTAATTGAACAATCCACCCAACAGGCACAGAAAATGATCAACTAAAATATGTATAAGCTTACTTATTAAAAAAAGATGAGTTCTTTTTGCTACCATGTATTTAGTTTTTTGTTTTGTGTTTTTTGTTTTTTCCTGTATTTAGGACACGGTCTACAGGGTCTCACTACGTAGATCAATTCATAGTGATTATCCTGTTTTCAGCCTCCCAAATGCTGGGATTACAGGCACACACCACCAGGCCCAGTCTCAATTGCTGTCTCAGTGCGCCCTGCAGGTAGGCACAGCACGGCATGCTGGGGATCAAACTCAAGCCACTGCGCTCTGCCTAATCAGGCACTTTAGTCCACTGAGCTATCAGGCCAGCCCTGCTTCCATCTAGTTAGATATCTAGTAAGAAGTACATCTTACTGGTACCTCTCTAAAGGAGGCAACCAAATATTGTACTACAGGTTTAGTTCCTAACAGATAGATAAATATATATATTCAGAGAGAAACAAACACCAGTGGCTTCTAATTCTTTAATTATGATATCAAGCAGTACTGATTTAATTTATCCCAGACAACATTTAATTTCAAAATAAATGAATAAAAATTTGTTATTGCCAGGCATGGTGGTGCACTCCTGCAGTCCTACCATCAAGAGGCCTACCACAAGTTCAAGGACAGCCTGGACTACAGAGTGATATTTCAAGGCCACCTGAAATATCTAACAAGAACCTGTTTCAAAAAACGATGCAAAGAATTGTACACCATTTATATCTTGAAATAATGAAATTTTAGAAATAGAGAACAGCTTAACACTTGGGCCTAGGGAGAGGGATAGCAGCGAGGGTGTGGGGATCATCATAAAAGGACAACAGAAAGTGATCTATGTGTTGCTCAAATTCTAAACATTCTTACAGAGGTAGTGAAGACCAACTGACACCGGTGACAAAATGTAAATAATATTATACACACAATAGACCACAGGGACACAAAGGAAGAAAAAAATAAATGTAACTGAGATTGGTGAATTTTACAATGTCAAAATCCTGGTTGTGATACCATAATAGTTTTATAAACATCACTGGGAGAAACTGTACAAAATGTATAGAAATATCTTTGTATTATTTCTTAAAATGTATGTACGTCTATAACTACCTCAATAAAAATTTTCAACTTAAAAAAATGTTGATAAAAATACTAGCCATCTACCTCATCTTGTAGCTTATGACAAGACAACCCCATTAGATTTCCTTAGCTGTCAGCATTAAAGGTCACTGAGAATCCTGACCATGGCAATACCTATAAGCTGGTACAGTAGGTAGAAACCCACTTATCCCACAAAACCAAAGTAGTCATTCACACCCAAGCCTGAAATGAGTTCTGATACAAGCTCACAGCCCAGGCAATCCTCCCCCAGGAAGCAGCCTCAATGAAAAGAGCTGGCTTGCTTCCTCTCCAGTTACTACCAAAGTGGAGACTGTGTTCAACAACCAGTCTAAGCACAGGAACAAAGCTCTGGTCCCTTGTCTCACCTCAGAACATCTCTCAAAGGCCAGAGTCCACTATGCCATCAGCTATAGCACTGTTCCAACTGCATCTTCATGCAGTTCATTTGCTTATTTGTGTTTCCCAGCTTTTGCTGGTGTGGTACCAGAGAAACTCCTCAAAAAACTACCAATATAGTCTCAGAGTCAGTTCCCCAGAGAACATGACCTATGCCAGTTCGCATCTTAGTCACCATACAATATATTTAATAAAACATGTTCAAAGACCTTTCTAAAATATTACATTGAGCAAAATGTAAGCATACCTGATGGCCACATTTAAGACATAGCCAAACTGAAGGAGTTTCTTCTGTTTCTTCTTCAGACTGATCTTTTATTTTATTGTCCAGTTTACAGTCTTGGCAAATATTCCATTCTACATTCACTAAAGCCTTTTTCAAATTACCTTGTTCCAATCCTTTGCGAATGTGTCTGCACATAGGTTCTATTAAAACACAATATATTAAGTCAAAAATAGCCTTTTATTCAGTTGTCAAAATTTATCCTTCATTCAAATTTTAAAAATGAATTACTCTACAAACAATATTTTAAGTTATTAGGATAAAATCTGATGTTTAATTATAATGGGAGAATTATGTTTTGCTTTTTAGTGATAATGGATAGTGAGCCTAGGACCTTCTACATGCTAGGCAAGTGTTCTACCACTGACCTATGCACCCAACCTCTGAGAAAGAGATTGCATACAAATTTGAAATTTTGCTTGTCTGAAGTCCTAGTAGAATCACCATCCCCCCTATGAACTCACTTCAATTTATTTGCCTATTTTCTTTTCTTTTTTTTTTTTTTGGTGGAAACGGGGATTGAACTCAGGCCCTTGAGCTTGCCAGGGAAGTGCTTATTCTACTGAGCAATCTCCCTGGCTCCTTTGCCTATTTTCTTTAAAGTAAGGCCATTTACCATACTTCTGGTCCTCTTTAATCTGAAAAGTGTTGACAAGAAAGTTCTTCAGTCAGTCACCAATACACCTACTGCAAGCCAAGCAACAGGCTGGGTGCCAGGGAACTTAAAAGTGACCAAGACACATCTCTTCTCTTTGAGTAGCTCATATTGTGGCAGGGTTCACATTTTCCCTGAGTGGTTCACAGCTGACTAATGTATAGCAATCTACAAAACACACTGTACATCAAAGAGAAGGCTAAAGTTGCCAGAAATTTAGAACTGGAATTGCTCAGTACTAGAATAAAAATCTGATACTGAGTAAACACTATCTGTATCAAGAACTGTGGGCCGGGGAGATGGCTCAGTGAAATAAGCGCTTCCCCGGCAAGTGCAAGGGCCTGAGTTCAATCCCCAGTTCTGCCAAAAAAAAAAAAAAAAAAAAAAAGAAAAAGAACTGTATGTGCACGGAAAGCAACAAAGATTATGTTTATTACATTCATAAAATTAAATTTTATCTAAGTGTACAACAGTACAGAAATAAATAAGTAATTTAAGAAATCAGCACACATGGTCCTTTATCAAAATATGCTTTAAAATTCCAATAAGTGACATACTGACACAACACTAAAATGCAAGTTATATAACAAAGTACACGTCATTTTTATATATTAAAATATCCATTTATGGATATAAATGTTAAAAATTCAATTAATGAAATATACCTAAAGATTCAGAAGAATCATCAACTGGACCAGTTTTTCCCTTTGTCCGTTTCTTTCCCATGCTGGCACTTTATAGATTACTTATTGACATAAAATAAAAATCTGGAAAACAAGATAAAATTAGCTTGATTCCCCCCCCAAAAAAGTGCATTTAATACTGTTCTGGAAGGTAAAAGACAGCAAAGCCACCGAATATTTTGCATTTATCACACTTTAAAATTTACAAAGACCATTATAAGTATTATCTAATTTTTAACAATTCTGAGTAGACAGGATAATACCATTCTTAGTTTTCTTACATTGGGGAAATAAATAGTCTTAGCAAAATTAAGAGGTGTTCAATAAATATAGAAGTCAGGAGATAGCATCCTTTTTCTTTTTTTTGAGATGGGGGCTTACTGTATATTTTTATGCAACAGGATTTCCTATAGATATTAGCTAACTGATGATTGCAAGTGCACTCAACTAATTAGATTACTATATTTTTGCAAAACTTATTTGGAAAATTATGGCAAAACTAAATGTATATCAAATCTTAACTTTTTAGTCAACCATTAAAAAGTTAATCTAGGGGGCTGGCGAGATGGCTCATTGGTCTAAAGCACCTACATGGAACAAGCTTGGCAAGCACAGGGACCACGGTTCGATCCCCCAGCACCACATGCCAGCCAGCCCTGCCCCCTGGAGGGCTGAGCTGGCCACACACACACAATAAATAAACAAATGTTAAAAAAAAAAAAATTATTCTTTAAAAAAAAAAAAAAAAGTTAATCTTGGCTTGGGAAATAGCTCGCTGGTCTAAGTGCCTGCCTGGCAAGCACAAGGACCTGGGTTTGATCCCCGGTACATGTCACGCTGGTCCCATACCATGCCTGCCGCTGAAACTGGGCATGGTGGCACACACTTGTAATCCTAGCACTGGGAAGGCTGAGGGAGGGGGACCACTATGAGTGCAAGTTGCACAGCAAGACCCTGTACCAAGTAAATAATCTAAAAAAAAAAAAGTTAATCTGACCACTGGCTGTCATCACCTCCCTAAACCAGCATCTGTTAAGTACACTCTTCTAGTTCTTTTTTTTTTTGTATTTTAGGGAAGGGTCTACAGAGTGTTCAGGTCTCACTAGTAGATCAGACTCATAGTGATCCACCTGTTTACAGCCTCCGAAGAGCTGTGATTACAGTTGCATGCCGCCACGCCCAGTCTCAATCACTGTCTCAGGGCGCCCCAGAGGTGGGGCCAGCATGGCAGACCCGGACAACTATAACATTTAATGTAATTTATATTACCTAAAATTGTAGATTTTATGAAAACCTAGGGCCCAGGTTCTTGCCTCCAATTTAACTCCCTCTAATCTGTCCTGAACTTGAGTGTCAGGTTCATTTTCCAATAATTGCCATTTTTATCTTATTAACTTTCTTGATGAAAGCATTTGATAGTTTCCAAGTCCATGTTCTTGAACTTAAAGTCACTGTCCTTTATAATTTGGCTCCAAAGGTTTGGCAATGCTTTCCTCACTCAACAAAAGAACTATTAAAGCTTAATTGAATGATACTTTTGATCTTCAAAGCCCTTCCACAAACATTATCACATCTGATTCTCACATCTCTTCAAATGGGAATATTTCACTAAAGAAACTCAGAAACAAAATGTAAAAGATCACATGGTGACAGAAATGTAAGGAAAATGCATTCTCTGGATTCCAAAATTATCATTCTTTCCTTTCCAATACAAGCCATCTCTTCATCATCCTCTATGCCACTGATGGGAATCCTTTTAGAGATCAGTGCCCACGGTAACCTAAAACCCACTAACTATATCACAAAACGCCTATGCTGTAATTAAACCTGAATACTGAGGTTTTAGTTTAGAAAAAACAGGGCTGGTGAGATAGCTCATTGGACTAAGAGCCTGCTTTGAGATTTTTTTGGGTATTTTTGTTTTTTATTTTTTGCCATACCAAGGATTGAACTCAGAACCCTGCGCCTGGCAAGCGCTTATTCTATTGAGCTATCTCCCTGGCCCTAAGTGCCTGCTTTGGCAAGCTCAGGACCAAGCGTTCTATCCCGTCCTACATGCCATGCCAGTGCCAGTGTCTGCTGAGCTTTCAATCGAGTCCAGGCCTGGTGGCACATGCCTGTAATACCAGCAGTGGAGGCTGAAAACAGAGGATCACTATAAGTCTGGGCTGCAAAGTGAGACCCTGAAACAAATACATAAATAAAAAACAAAATTAAAAGAAAAAAACTCAAGAAAAAAACAAAAACAAGAAAAAGTAATATCCACGTCGTAGGTTCACCACCACTGCTTTATGTCAGAACAGCTTGATCTCATTCTGTTACCAATCGTCCCAGTATTCTATTTCAATGAAGACTTAGCCTTCATAAAATTCTCCACTGAGCTTTCCTAGTCACAATAGCAACAGTATCTTCTCCCTTTATGAAACAGTACGGAAGACTGGTCCTTAATTCATTGATCGCAACATATTTTTCTCTCAGTAACCTTAATTTCTAAGAGAAAGAAATGTTTCTAGGCAAAACTTCTGAGTTGCTGTAGAATTAAGTGCAGTGTTAGTAGGTAGTACATTCTTAAAAAATACTTCTTGCATTGATATAGAAAAATAGAATAGTACCTGGAGCATAAAAAGATGATTACAAGGTGCAAAGGTAGGTACATAGGAATGGAGTAAACAAGTTCTGGTGAAATAGAAAAAGGTGAAGAATGAAGTCAGAAGTCTGGAGTACTGAAGACAGCACTAGTAAATCTGGTTTGAGACTGCGTTAACTCAAACTCCAAAGGAAAACTTGAAAGGCGAATTGTAATTGCTGCAGGCAGAAGACATAAGGGATCATTTAAGCCCTGTTGAAAGAGATCCACTAAAAACTATACCGGCCACTAATGAGTCATGAAAATAAAGTTCAGTGTCTGCAATAAAACACTAATAAATCTATTAGATGAGTCTTTAGGTGAGTCTTTAAGTAAGAATCTGCATCTACGTCAAACAACTCTTGGCAAGACTACGCAAAATTTAAATCAAAGCTGGTCCTGCCAGCTCTCATGCTAATTCCATTCCATCCTTTCTCTGCTCTCCCTGTCTATCGCTGATACTGGGTCCCATTACAAATGAAAGTGTGAGGAAAACATTATTCAGAAGCACATCTTTCTTAAATGTGTTCTTTACGAGTGCACATACTGGAAAGGTCTTAGCGTTCAGCCAGATTGGTGACAGATCTTAATTTTCCTACTAACCACGTGGACGCGGCTGTACTGGGGCCAGCCACCCACCTACACTCCTGGTGCCTACCACACCACACTTCCCTCCTCTTTCCTTTCCTTCCATTCCCTTCCATCTATCTGATGGGAACCCACAGGAGAAGAGGGGTGGCTCTGGGCCCAAGGGTCGAAGAGGGCACCAACACAAGCAACTCATTGGCCAGCTGCTGGAACTGACAGGACAAGCAGCCAACGAGAACGTAGTACAGGGAGAGCCCGCAACACGTTGAGAGAAAGGCTTTCCAGAAGAGAACAAGTTTAGGAGAAAAATTTCGGGCTCTCCGAAAGCAGGAAGTTAGGCAGGTGGCGACAGCAAGTGAGTGGGAACAGGACTCACCCACAGCGATAGCGCCCATAACTGCTTCCCCTAAATACACCTTTGGTCTGGGTAGTCAGCTCAGGTTTCCTCTTGGTGTTGAACAGACAGCGACAAAGCCGACTCCACAGTGACCGTGGAAAGCACCAGCTTCCGGAAACGCGGCATTATGGGTAATGACTTGGTTTGAGTCCCGAGGCTGTGCTAGTTAATCTGCGCGTGCGCACACTCCGCCCCGGAAGTTCTAAATCAGCAATTCCGAGGCGTTTGCGGGAAGGTGGTGTTCCTTCGTGTGTGTGTAACCATGGCGTTATTTAAATCCTTCTAGCGTGGGTACCTAGTAGTGGTTTAAGTCTGGGAGTTCTCTGGGCGGTTATCTTAAATAGTACTTGCTAAACGTTGAAAGAGAACATTTTTAATTTGTTACCTTAATTCTGCCCTGTACACACAAAAATTTATTTTTAATTAACCTTGTACCAAATCCAAATAAAAAAGGTAAAGCTACGCGAGTGAATTTGAAAACCAAACTGAGAGATGGTAAAGAGAAATTATGGAGTGTGACTCGGTGGCAGCCATCCATAATCCCTGCAATTCCACAGGTCAAAACAGGAGGATCGCAAATTCAAACCCAGTCTGGGAAATTAGCAAGACCCTAAATCTGAAAATGTCAAGGGCTAGGGATGTAGCTCAAGGTTAGTTGAATGTAGACAATGAAAAGCCAATAATTGAAAATTAAGAAAGCAGATGTCAGGAGATGTAAACAGGTAATTCACAAGAAAAGAGGGTCATAAAATAAAGGAGAATATCGTACCAGGAATCACATAAAAGTAAAGATACATACATACTAACCTGCCAAGTGCCCAGAGTAATGTTTGGTTAAATACTAAGGAAAATTTATCATCCCAGCCTACCCTCGATCCTTCTTCCCCACTCTATGACAGAGCTGTGGGGAATCACAATTATTTTACCATAAGCCCACATTGCAACTGAGAGATGAGTCTGTAATAGATATTTTAATGTTCTACTGTGTAAGCTGAAAATACACATACATCCAGCCACTTGTCACATTTTAGAGTATTATCTCTATCTGGGCAAATATCTGTAACCCCAGCACTTTAGAATCTGAGAGACAGAGATCATTAGGAATTTGAGGCCAGCCTGGTTTATGTAGTGATCTCAAATCCAGCCTGAATGACATAGGCCCTGTCTCAAAAAAAAAAAAAATCTTCCCCTATCCCAAAATGACATCAAAAGTCCCTTTCAATTACAAACATAGATACTTTATTCTGATACCCTGGCCACTAACACTTTGTGTATTTATTAATAAATGTATTTATGTCAGTCTTTATGTGTTATTAATTTAAGAAGGATTATTTCTAGCAATACCATGGGTACTTGACCCTGTCAATTAAGAAAACTGTAGCCAGTCTTCAAACAATGCCTCACTTTCTATAGAATTGCAAAGAATGAACAACAGAACCACCATGACTTCATGAAATCATTCCTGGGGTGTTTCCAGACACAGCTGCTCATAATAAAAGCAAATATGAAAATAGCCTGTCATCCTAATTTCGAGTCTGTTCTTGGATTCACTCTGCTCTATTGCCAAGTATCAATAAACTTACCTTTTCTATATTCCTTGAGTACTAGTAAATTGCTTTTAACAACCACATAAGTCTCTCACATACCTTGCACAGGAAAAAACTTCAGGCCCATTATACTACCTGTTTCCTCCACTTGGAAGGTCCTTTGATCTACTGTTGTTGGATAATTATTAGTCCATTCACTCCCTAAACATCAGTGTCTTGCTGGGCATTATGGCACATACCTGCGTTAGAAGGACTGTTGCAAGTTTGGGAGCAGCCTAGGCTACAAAGTGAGCTCAAGGCCAGCCTAAAGTGCATAGTGAGACCCAGTTTCAAAAAGAAGCCCGCTCCCAAAAAGTCAGTATCTTACCAAAGTGACTGAAGAACCTAGGTATCCTGATCACTGGTTCATCCATATCTTTTATCTCTTCCCAGGAACTGTCATTACTTGGTATTGCCTTCATTTTTACCTACATATGTGTATTCCAAGAATATACAGAAATATGCAAATGTAAGCTTTGTGAAATATGGAATATTTCTGTTTTGTTTGTATCAATTCTAGTATCTAGAAGTGACTGGAATATAGTGCTTAATTACTGAAAATATATGGTAGTCATTAGAAATGAAATGCTATGCGAGAATGTTTATAAAAGACCAAAATAATGGAAACAACCTAGGTTTCCATCAAGAATGGAAAAAGTAGTATTACACATTTTTGTCATGGTATTTTTGACATGTCTGTGTTTACTAAAGAAACATTTATTTATTTGTATTTAGGACAGGGTACAACAGGGTCTACAGGGTCTCACTGCATAGATCGGACTCATAGTGATTTCCCTGTTTACAGCCTCCCAAGTGCAGGGATTACAGGCGCACCACCACACCCAGTCTCAATGGCCATCTCAGCGCACCCTGGGGGCTGGGCCGCACTGCAGGCCTGGCAATCCACCTCTGGGCCCTTGTGTCTGCTAAACAGATGCTTTAATCTGCTGAGCTGCCAGATAGCTCAGCGGATTAAAGCGCCTGTTTAGGCAGACACAGGGATCAGAGGTTTGATCCCTGCCTCACCCCCAGGGTGTGCTGAGATGACATTGAGACTGGGCGTGGTGGCACACACCTTTAATCCCAGCGTTTGGGAAACTGAAAGCAGGAGAATCACTACAAGTCGGATCTGTGTAGTGAGACCCTGTAGAACCTGTAGATGCTGCACTAAACAGGAGGGAGGAAGAGGGGGAGGGGGAGAGGGAGGAGGAGGAGGACGAGGAGTAGGAGGAGGATTTACAAGATTGGTTTACAGTGGCCAGCTACCAGGGCAGGTGTGGGAGAGTGCAAAATATCTGCCTGTGAGCTGGAGATCTGAAGGATCTGTTGAAGGCCTGGAATTCACTGTAGTGCCCTATAATGAGTCCTTATCAGAGGCAGAAGGGTCTACACTAGAAGGCTCAGGAGTCTGTGGTGGAAGACACAAGACAGCACCCATGGTGAAGACTGGACCTTCTCCGAAGAAACAGAAATCAATCCTTTTATAACATTCTAGCAACAGTCCTGCCTCGGGTGACTCTTTACACCCAAAAAGATGCTAAGCCAATCTACTTGGGCATTTCTTACTCAAACTGACAAAAATTCATTAACTATCACATATGGAACTGAGCAATCAAAAAAAAAAAAAAAAAAACTGAGTAACACAAAAATATTAATTTTATGATATATTGAAAGCCTGACACAATTCTATCTACTGTATGATTCTAACATGAAGTTCTAAGTCAGATAAAATTACCATTTCTCCAGGCGTAGTGGCACATTCCTGTAATCCCATCACTAGGGAGGCTGAGGCAGGTGGCTCTTCACAAATTAGAAGCCCAGCCTGGGCAGAGCTAAACTATATAGCAAGACCATCTCAAACAAAAATGTACTACATATAGTTCACATGGTCCTCACAGCTTGGTCACTGGCCAACACCTGAGGCCTCCAAGGCCATCTTCTCTGTCCACACTCACACATCCCTAATGCCCTGCTACGCTGTGGTTCACGCCCAAGGAGAATCAATAGGTGCGAGGCCGTGTCAAAAATGCACAATTTGGATTAGCCGTCTCCCCATCACTACCTCCCTACACTGATCTGAAAGCATGCAGGCCTTCAATGTTACTTGAATGGGCCAACGTTCACCCACTAAACAGTGTCTCCAACAGCAGAAGCAGCAGGAAAATGACAACGATGTTAGCTGGAAAAGTAACGTGCGAGGAAGAGTACTGCCACCGGGCCGCAGAGAGCGAATAACAAACTCGGGGTGAAAGTCTCAGGAAAACACCGCAAGGAGTCCGAGGACCAAGAGGTCAGTCCACTTCCGGTTTCCGGGACTCGCGCGCATGCGCCAGCTGGAATGACTCTCTCACTTCTCCTAGTCCGCCGTAAGGGAATGGTTTAAATAAGCTTCGAAACCCATGATCTAGAATTTTATCTCAAGAGCCTTGTATCAAGGAAGCCCGGGTTAACAGCAGTGAGGCACCCACGGCGGTAGGTGAGTTTTCCATGGACACCGATAGTAACTGTGCTGGGAATCTCTAGTCCCGAAGAGGGCCCAGCACTATCCAAGCTGTGGCCGTACAATGGTACCGCCTTCCTTTGCGCTGTACGTCCGTTGATTGGTCAAAACCGTCTTGGCGATTCTTGGTCCCGCCTACGGAAGTTCGCGGGCCCAATTAGGTGTCAGATGTACAGCGCCTGCGTGTAGGGCAATTTTTTGGAGTGGGTTGTTCTTGGGGAGTCGGGAGGAGGTCTGGGTTTGTTTAAAAAGAAAAAACAACAAACAGCAAGAAATAGAAAAATTGCGAGAAGAAATGATTCAACTCATGAAAGTAAAGTTTTACACCAATAACTGAAATCTTGAATCCAGACATTCTCTTAAAGGATTTTTGAGGGAATTAATGCCATCAGGGAAAATAATTAAGCAGTAAATGACTTACTATATTTCTTACGCAGTTGTCCGTGTATAGATCGCTGTGTCCTGTGTTCCAAATCATCCTCTAGACACTAAATTCACATAGAAGCCTCTCCCAACTTCACTCACTCCGTGGATCAGTTTAAACAAGGAAAGTTGTATGCATGGGTTTAAGTGTTGATGACGTCCAAAAGTGTGGCTCCAGCTGATAATCTCTGGTAAGCCCCTTGATTATATATCTACCTGCTGGACCTCCCTGACTAACAGTTGTCTTAATAGGCACTTCATTAATGTATTGAAAACCAGCTTCAGATTTCCACCATCATACTCATCTAAATAAATGGCAAATTCATCTTTCTAGTAGCTTAACCTGTGGAGTCAGTCCTACTCTCTTTGGGTAGTTCATCAGTAAATCGTGTTGCCTCTACATTCTCCTATGGCCAGAGCCTCTCATTGCCATTCCAGTCTTCCATCACTGCCTTAAGCCAGGCTACCGTTATCTCCACCCAGGTTCCTGCAGTACTTCTCTGCTCTCCCTGTTTTCTCCAGTGCTGTTCTCTGTAGTAGCAGGCATAGGTTTTTTCATACACTACCTCGTATTTCCTCAGCAACCTCCTCCAGCACCCTCCTCCTCCAGCCTTTGAACTTGCTCTTTGCTTCTTAGAATACTGCCTAGGTCTGTACCTGGTGTCCTTTTTGATTCCTCTAAGTCTCTTTCACACATTCTCTTTTTTCTATCCTGTCAGGAAAATCTACCCCACATGCTCATTATCATCCTAATTTGTCTTTTTAAAAAATTTTAAATTTCTTTTTTCTTTATTTGAGATAGGGTCTTGCTAAATCAGTAAGTTGCCCAGTCTAGACTCAAACTTGCAATCAGCCCAGAGTGCTGAGATTACAGGTGTGTTTCACCTTTTTTTTTTTTTTTTTTGTACCAGAGATTGAACTCAGGACCTTGCGCTTTGTGCTTTTTGCCAGGCAGGAGTATATGCGGCTGAACTATCTCTCTTGCTAATTTTTAAAACTTTATCTTACTATTATTATTATTATTATTATTATTATCATTATTTACTGGGGATTGAACTCTCTTGCACTTACCAGGCAGGCATTTAAGCTGCTGAGCTAGTACCCTGGCTACAGGTGTGTTTTACCATGCACTACTTGCCTGTCTTGTTGAAGTATTCATTGGGCATATATATTTGTTTTTTTGTTTGTTTGTTTTTGTTCTTTTTTAAAAAGCAATTTTTGCTTTTGAGACAATATTTCACTATATAGGCTGGCTGTGAACACATTATATAGCCCAGGGTGGCCTTGAACTCACAGTGATCCTCCTACCTTTAGCCTCCCAAATGCTGAGATTACAGCTGTGTGTTACCACATCTGGATATATTTGCTTTTTAGATATTATGGTTTCCTCCCACTAGATTAAACCTCTGTAACACCAGACAGTTTTTGTATAGTTTTATTCATTATTATATTCTTAGGGCCAAAGACAAGGCTTACCATATAATAGGTAAGGAACACTTATTTAAGGAACACTTATTAAATGAATGACCAATAATAATAGTGACAAGCATTCTTATACCTCTTACTCTATTTCCAGTCACTCTTTTAAGCACTTTTCACACATTCTCATTTTATCCTCACAGCAACTCTTATCATTCCCACTTTGGAAATGGGAAAAGTGAGGCTTTGACAAATGAAGTCACTTGTCAGAGGTCATACAGTTGATGAGTAGCAGAGCCAGGAGTTGTACTTTGGCAATATGACGAAAGAGTCCATACTTTGAACCACTAAAGTAAGAACAGTAAATCATCTTTCTCTAATAACCACCTAGTGAATTGTTTTCAAATTCCTGTGCTCTAAAAAAGCCTAAAGAAGATATTTATGAAATTCAAATTTAAAAAATAAAAAATAAAATTAAAAAAACACACACACACACACACACACACACACACACTAGGGCCAGGGATATGGCTCAGTGGAATAAGCGCTTCACTGGCAAGCTCAAGGGCCTGAGTTTAATCCCCGGTTCTGCAAAAAAAAAGAAAAGAAAAGAAAAGAAAAAGAACACGAAAGAAAGAAATTCAAATAAGTCCAGGAATTTTAAATATTTATGAGTGGTTCTGTGTTTATGTGTGCAGGATTTTAATAGCAGCAAATACTTAAATTCCAATATCAAGTGAAAATAGTGGGATATGAAATAATGTGAAATTACTGGTTACTAAAGAAAATGTAGTTTAAAGGAAGGAAGGATATTTGTGTTCTACTGGTTGTTTAGATGAACATTCAGCATAACAATGGTGATATTTAAACTACTGAAGTTCTGCTGGCTAAGTGGTAAAGCAGAGAACTCTGATCTGTTCTGTGGAAAAGAAAGTTGTATCAACTCACCTAGAAAAAAATGTTCTTGGATCAGATAAGTTTGGTATAGTTATCAAACCTACTAAACCTCCCTATTAGAACTTAACAGAGCATATTGGAATCTAACAGTAAGGATTCTGAGAAGGCACATATAAAAAAATATGGAATATGGCTATATTAGCTGTCATAGTTTGGGATTTTGCAAGGGGAAACAATACAATACAGGACACATTTTATAAGTTTATGTTATAGGCTAAGCCAGCCACATATTCCAGATGTAGTGGTGTATGCCTGTAATCTCAGTGCTGGGGAGGCTGAAAAACAGGAGGATCACTGTGAGCCCAAGCTGCAGAGTGAGACCCAGTAACAACCAAATTATATTAAAAAAATGTTTAAAAAGATTGTTATGATGAATCACCCAAAGAATCATATACAAAGAGTACAGGAAGTCTGTCTACACCCTGAAAACCAAAGAATCTAGCTGAGGGCCTGGATCATAGAGCTCCTAACAATGCCTCCCAGAGTCCACCTGGAGGCCGAGAGCCCACAACAGTTTCTCATGCAGGCCGTTTACGGACTTGTGCAGAGAAGGCCCAGAGGTCAGTGGTGGAAGCTAGGAAGTCTGTGCAAGTGAGATGAAATGTCTGTGCAAGTAGGCTGAGAGATCTGAACTGGACCTGGAAGCATCACTCTAGGTAAGAAGCAGAGCTGCTCCAAAAAGTACTACAGTCATCCTCAACAAGTGAGGTCCCAAGCTCCTCTGGTAGGAAAAGCTGAGTTCCCATCAGGAAAGCCAACATGACAAGCTTTTCCATGAGACTGAGCAGTGCACCATTTTCCCCTCCGGAGCCAGGAAATGATGCTCAAGGTGAGGATCAGAGCTCCCACAAAGTGAACCATAGTCATTCTCAGTGACAACGAGGTCCCCAGCTCCTCCAGCGAGAACAACCAAGTTCACCAAGAAAGCTAGCATGATAAGCTTCCAGAAGACACCAACAGCTCCTTACAGTTTCTGACAGCGCCCAACAGCTTTCCTAAGAGCCTCCGTCTTCTCTAGTTCTGCCTCTCATGCTGCCACAACAATCCTGAGCTGGGCCTCCCACACTCAGCACCATGCTAGTACAGTTCAGCTGGGTCTAACGAGTTGACCACCAGTTGGCAATCCCCTACACTAGCCCATTTAGGACACTAACCATGAATATTGTGACCACCAGTCTGGTGGGGTAGGACATGCTTATAGTATTAGCACTTGGGAGGCTTAGGCAGGAGAATTGCCCTAAGTTTGAAGTAAGCCCAGGCTACATAGTGAGTTCAAGGACAACCTGAACTAGATAGTGAGAGCCTGTCTCAAAAACAAAAAACTATTTCTCTCTCTCTCTCTCTCTCTCTCTCTCTCTCTCTCTCTCTCCAGAACCAGGGATTGAACTCAGGCCCTTGCACTTGCCAGGCAAGTGCTTATTCTACTAAGCCATCTCCCCCACCCCCTATTTAATTTAAAAAGTTGTGACTGATAGCACAAACATGAATCCCAGCACTAAGGAGGCAGAAACAAGAGGATCTTGCCTTCAAACTCAGCCTGGCAGCCTGGGCTACATAGTGAGACCCTGTCTCAGAAAGTCTTCTGAAGTTTCACTAACAAACTAGCTAAATTATTAGACAGTACCATTTCCTGTTATTAAAGAAATGATTTAACTATATTGTATGAAACCCAGTAAGGCTGAATGAAGTGAAAGACATGCCTCTAAAGAGCTTGATTGGGCTGGGGAGATAGCTCAGTGGCATGAGTGCCTTCCTGGAAAGCACACAGTTCTGAGTTTGATCCCTTGTACCAAAAAAGAAAAAGAGCTGATGATAGCTCCATTCTCCATGTGCTGGAATTTTGTGCCACTGAATGTGTAAAACTGGTATGTTAGGATAGGGTGAATCCACTAATAGCTGTCAGAGAGCCCACTTGCCTGCCTCATGGGAATCTCCCCTGCCCCCTGCCTTCTTCCCAGCCAGCTTCACTGCCTGACCACCAGCTCCTTGAGCTCCTTCATCCTAACAGTCGGTGCTGCTTCGCCTACCTCTGCTGGGGCGATGCATGAGATTGTTGTGCTGACAGTGTGCAGCGAGGGTTGAGCAACGTCATAGGCAAGAGTCAGGGGAGGAGTAGGCATGGATTGGCAAGAAATAGACAAACACTCAGCTTTGAAACATTGAAGAGACTTTTAATAAAAGGGCCCTTCTCAGAGAGGTGACCAAATTCAAAGAAAGCTACTTTCCCTGGCCCAAAAGAATTGCTGAAGCCAGGGACCAGTGGCCGCCTGCGAAGTCAGAGTCCTGCCACTGCAGGGAAGAAGCAGTGAAGATGTGCTCCAGCCTTCGTCTCTTCCTTCTGTGCATTCTCCAAGACCAGTGCCAAGAGCTCTTTGAGCACATGATTTTTATTTCAATGGAAATGTTCATTGTCATAGGTGAAAATGTCAGATGAACTATCTAGATAGAGCAATTTAGTGTATTAGAGTTGTTCACTGGACTGTTCCATATTTTTAATTGTTAGCATGTTAAATTTGAAAATACAGGAAAAAAAAACAACCCAAAACTTGACTATACTAACTTTTTCTCTCTCCTCTCTCTCAGACAGGGTTTCCCTATGTAATTCAATGTATGTAGTCTAGGGTTGGGGAGATGGCTCAGTGGAATAAGCACTTCCCTGGCAAGCGCAAGGGCCTGAGTTCAATCCCTGGTTCAAAAAAAAATGTATGGGGGCTGGGGAGATGGCTCAGTGGAATAAGCGCTTCCCTGGCAAGCGCAAGGGCCTGAGTTCAATCCCCGGTTCTGCCAAAAAAAAAAAAATGTATGTAGTCCAGGCTGGCCTCAAATTTAGCAATCCTCCTGCCTCAACCTCCTTAGGGCTGGGATTACAGGCATGTGCCACTGTGGCTGGCTAAATTTTGCAATTTAATGACAAAATCATGTACCTTTTTACTAAGTACTCATGTTGATCTATTGAATTCTCCCAGGATTCTGCATATAAATTGTTTCTCTTATCCTTACCTCTTTAGAAACTTACAGATATCAAAAAATGACTGCAGTAGAGCAGGCTGAGGCCCAACTTTCAGAGTTAGAACTACTGGCCAGTATGTTCCCTGGTGAAAGTGAGCTTATAGTCAATGACCAGCTGGCTGTAGCAGAGCTGAAAGATTGTATTGAGAAGAGGACCATGGAAGGGAGATCTTCAAAAGTCTACTTTACAATCAATATGAACCTGCACATATCTGAGGAAGTAATGGTAACTCAGTTTTGTTTTTGGAAGACTTAAAACATATCAAGACTTATAAGCACTTACAACATCTTTCTTCTGTTTTCCTTCATCTTCCTTTTTCAAATCAGGTGATGTTTTCTGTGGCCTGCATTCTTCCCTTTAAATATCCTGAAGTCCTTCCTGAAATTACTGTAAGGTATGTTACAGAAGTTCTAACCAATTTCAGAGGCCAAAATTAGTCACTGATCAAAAGCAATTGTGTTTGTTTTATTATCCAAGAAAATTGATATGTCTTTTCTTTCCATTCAATCAGATCAGCACTGTTAAGTAGATTACAGCAGTCTCAGCTGAACATAGATCTGACTGCTTACTTGGAGAAGAATTGTCTTGGAGATGTCTGTATATTGAATGCCACAGAGTGGGTGAGAGAACACGCTTCTGGCTATGTCAGCAGAGATGCCCTATCTTCCCCCTCAGAAAATACAGTCCAGCCAGTCGATCTTATTCTTACAAGGCTCTGGATCTATAGCCATCACATCTACAGTAAATGGAAGAGAAAGAATATCCTAGAGTGGGCCAAAGAGCTTTCCCTGTCTGGGTTTAGCATGCCTGGGAAACCTGGTGTGGTTTGTGTGGAAGGTGCACAAAGTGCCTGTGAAGAATTCTGGTCAAGGTTTGCTTTCACATATTTTATGTATCATGTCAGTAACCATAAGACAAGAAGATACTAGAGATGTAAAAATATGTATGTCCCACAGGGTGTTATCTCCATAGGAATTCAGTCTTGAGTCAGTGAGTAGTGTGCAAGGCAGAAATCATATATATATATAGTCATTAGCATGACTTCCCTCACCAGACATGCTACTCGTAGGAGACAGTCTCTAAATATTTGTTGAAGTCATTGCAGTCTGCCCAGGAAGCTAAAATCTCATTCATTTCCATGGATCTGATTCTTCTCTCATTTACTGATATTTTAAACTTATGCTTTATTAAGTAGGAACTTTCTGGAAGCATTAGACTTGCTGGTAGTCTTCCCATTTCTCGTCTGATGTCATAAAAAATTTTGAGAATTTCGTTAAGTAGCTTGAAAATTATCAATTTTCACATTTCTGCAATACTCATAGCAGATAGTAGTAATTGCAGTAAATGAGTCTGAAGGTGAGGTCATGACTAGACTCATACTTGATTAAAATAAACCCTTCTGAGATAAAAGTAGACTTTTTGACTTACAGAAAAAGGCATTGCTAGATTTTGTGTCATAACTGCTATTTTGAGTGCTTTAGAATACACGACCCATTTTGAAGATTTGTGCTTTGAAAATTTCTTTTTAGACTCCGAAAACTGAATTGGAAGAGGATTCTGATTCGCCATCGAGAAGACATTCCTTTTGATGGTAGAGATGATGAAATGGAAAGGCAAAGGAAGTTTTCCACTTTTGAGGAAAAAGTGTTCAGTGTCAGTGGAGGCAGAGGAAACCGCATGGACTTCGGTCAGCTGTATCACTTCCTGAATACCAAAGGATGTGGGGATGTTTTCCAGATGTTCTTTGGTGTGGAAGGACAATGACTGAGGAACAGTGGATGAATGTACTTTGTCACTTTTGGCCGCTTGATTTTTTCCCCCACTTTTTATTGGAAGTTTGATTTTATTTTAATTCCATTCCAGAATGGTAGGAGGAAAAAGGAAAATGTGAAAATATGATAGTTTCAATGAAACTGTAAAAAATAAGTCATGATTGAAAGCAGAACTGAGTTTTAAATTATAGTCTTTAATTTGTCATAGAAATTTTTGTTTTTTTAAATGTATTTAGTACAGGGTCTACAGAGTTTCACTATTTTATTATAAAATAAAACCAGCTTTGTTTAAATGTCTGTGCTTATTACTAGCAGTTGCTTTACTCCTTTGTTCCTGGGTTTGTCCAGCTGAGGTACAAAAGGAGGAGAACTTTAAAAAATGAAACAAAACAGGGCTCACCAGTTCATCAAATTGGTAATTTTGAGAACCTGGTTTTGGCAAATTGGCTTTTGACAAACTTTTTACTCTGGAAATGGCTTCTGTAAATTTATATTTGGTAAATTGACCTACAATCAAATAATACTGCCTGATTTTTGAGGTCTTCCTAAATAAACTCCAAAAACATTTGTTAACCATGGATCTCTAATTCTCTAACTGCTACTATGTCCTGAATATTCTCTGAAGAGTCATAGGTGGAGTTGAAGTGAGACAGTACGTTGTTTATGTTAATTGGAAGCAACTTACACACCCATTGCTCTAAAATACAGCATATAATACCACATAGAAGTCAGAAGGATGCCCAGCATGGTGGTGCACGCCTGTAGTCCCAGCACTCAGGAACCTGAAGCAGGTAAACAAATAGAATCAGCACAGTGCCTGTGTTGTAAGTCTTCTTCCCTGCTGCCCGCCTCGTGCTAGCCCTGTCACTTGTCCTGGTAATACAAGGTGTTTCTGGGCTGCCACCATATAGGCAGCCCCAACTAGTTTTATGTGTGTCTAGTGTTAAAGAGTTCTGTGGCCACTAAGAGTTGTGGATAAAAATCTCACACTCTTACAAGCTGCCCAAAGGAAGAGATGCTATATGCATTACTTTTGGCAGAACTAAACTATGAAACTTTTTCAGTCATTGTACATCAGGCTAGTAAAATAATGCTTGTACAAATAAACAGCTCTCAGATGTACACCAAAACACAAAATGTAATGAAGATTTATAAGTTGTCTTCCCTGAGATGGTCCTCTCATCAAGTTTAGATATTTATGACTATTAAGACATAGCAAGGGGACAGGGAGATGGCTCAGTAGAAGA